AAAACCTTTTGAATGTTGTTCAGGATCACAAGCTTGACAACATATGTCAAGGTCATGACCATTGGAGGTTGTTCCTCTTTTTCTTCAAAAAATAAAAATAATTTTCAAAAATGAAAATAAGAGCAATAATCCTTAATGGCCTTGATTTTGACATATGTTGTCAAGGTCATGATTCTGAACATTCAAAAGGTTTTAGCCAGTGTTTGGACACTTTGGATAATGCTAATACCGATGATACTGTAACTTTCAAGTTTCATAATTCGAGATTTACTTAACCAAAGAATATTTTATCTAAGTGTTGTTTTGGAAAGCTCTTGACGCCAGCTATTAAATTCTAGAATTGAAAATAGGGTAATCCATTAAAAAAAATTAATGTAATCTTTATCTGACTTTGGTGACGCCGTCCAAGGTCAAACCGATAAGACCAGTAAATTTTTTTAAGCCCTACAACTTTTGAAATATTTTTCCATTAAACCAATACTTTCTGAGATAATTGGCCGTTTCGGAACTTTTGGGACGCACTGTATATATATAGCTTTAAAAGCATAACTCAATGAAACATGTTTCATATATGATATAATTATCTGTGTTTAATTATCTATAATACATTTACTGTTTATTTCCAAATTTTCAAACAAGATATATAAATAATTACCTCTATAGGACTAATTTCGTTGTGTTTATTGAAACTTTCTATGGGACATCTTCTACCACGAGTTCTGGGACAATCATTTCTGCCCCGAATGGCTCCGCCATGCAAGATATCAATATAGAAACATTCTTCGTCTTCAGGCTTTTCTGTAACACTATAGACATACATGCCTCTACATACAGGTCCGCCAATTATGAGACGTATGTCTTATAATCACTTCGTAGTACAAGAACGAACTAAACTGAATCGATCACTACCTTTTGTAATTTTTGCAATAATTAGTAAGATAATTAACAAAAATAATTAACAAAAATAATTAACATTAACAAAAATCCACGAATAAGCATACGTCTGCGCAAAGAAACAACCCATGTGTTCATCGTCATTGTTAGGAGCGCTTCCAAATACTTGGAAGTATGTTCTACTAACAATACAACAATGGATGTTTTTTTTTAGCAAAATATATAGATAATATAGTGAATTATTTCATCCTTGTTGTTTACCAATGTTAAACAAAAATGAAATAATTCACTGAGGTAACTATATCTCTTGTTGGAAAGTATCCAATATTTACACACAACTTCTACGTAGCCAATGCCATTCATAGAACACACTTTCAATATCTTGCTGCGTTTCCAGCAACCTTGAATAAAGCTGTTTCTTCACGCACATTTGTTCACGAATCTTAATTATCTTATTATTACGTAAATTAAAAAATAAAAATTTTTGTTTATTCAGTTTATTCTTTATTTGTGGATTTCATCCCATATGAAGTGATTCGATAATTATGCGACACCCTATATACAGAATGTTTTATTTTAATCTCTCTAAGAAAATATTTCGAAATATGATACAAAAAAACATTTCGTACAAGTTTTATTACTTCGACGGCGAGGGAGATCATTCATTTGATCTAGAATAGTCATTTGAAGATTACTTTTAATTTCTTAAACCGAAACGAAAACCTATATTTTTCATTGCATATTTTTATAACTTACCTCGAAAGTTTTTCAAAATGATATAATATTTTATAATTAAGTATTTTTTTGAGTTACAAGACTTTTAAGTTATAAACCTGCGCGCACGCACGTACAAAGAATAAATCCGATCGAATAACCTCCGTGGTACACCTTGGATAATGCTAAAATCGGTAATACTGTAACAAATCTTATAACTTGAAAAGTACTTAATGAAAAAATATTTTATTATATAGTGTTTTGAAAATCTCTCAAGATAAGCTACAAAAATACGCAATGAAGAAATTTTCATTTAAGAAATTAAAGATGATCTTTATGTAGCCTTTAAGTGACTATCTAACGTCAATTCAATGGTATCATCTTCCCTTCAAAGTCATAAAATTTTGTACGAAACGTTCTTTCGTATCTTTCATATTTTTCGAAATATTTGCCTAGGAAAATTAAAATGAAACAACCTGTATAACAGGCATATATAGATATACATAAATTTAAAAAAAAGATAAAAATAAGATCCTTCTAAATTATGCTTACGATTTCGGCTTCCAACTTAAAAAAAAGTGAGTAGGAAAAGATATGAGATCACAGCGTACGCCAAGTCTTCTTGCTATACTCTGGAATATTATTGCTAGAGATGCAGCATTACCAACTTTGCTTTCTAAAACCTGTATATATTATAAATTGTAATGTAATATATATAGAAAGATATTAACACATAGTATAAAGGGGCATAAAAACATGCTTGTGATATAATTGGGTATCATATTACAATTCACAACTTACACAATCTATAAGACTGTCCTCTGGTTTGGGGTTTAATGTATTAGAGTCTGAAACTGAAGCTCCACAGAAACCTAATTCGTTAAATAAAACTATTCGAAGTACATTTATTATCTGCTTTTCTTCCTTTCTGCTCCATTGATCGTCATTGATATTACATTTCCAATAAGAAAATTGCTTAGCAGATGCTGAGAATATTGGATGCTCGCAATGTACCTTTTTAAGGTACTCCAATACCTGCTGTGCAATATTATCCAGCGATGCTTCAATATCAAAGTAAAAGATACATTTTTGAGGTTGATACCATTGTGCTACAATAGTAGCTGCCTTTTCTAAAAGCTGCTGTTCTTTGGGATAATTCATAAATTCCTGCCATATGTCCTTTAGATGACGCTGTTGTAGATGTGGAAGAAGTTTTTTGCTATAATACTTATATGTCAAGTTACAGTCAGGTAATCTGAAAAATATATATACATTAATTGTACAATTAATTCACACATTCATCTGCAATATTAATAATTTATTAAATCTTACAATGGAGATATTGTAATTAAATATATCAGCTCATCCTTGAGAAAATGATAATTCATAATATGTGCATTCATATTTGGACAGAATAGAAGATCGAAATGTTCCATGTCACTGTCAGACAACAGCTTGTCCTTGTGAAAATACTTTTCAGACATCAGTGATAAGTAATTTCGCAGTTCATTCCTACATTTTATGCTTGCTTTTACTTCGTCCTTAAAATTTATGCATTCTTTATTTTGTATCCGTTTATCATAAAATCTTTTCAAATGAGGCCACCTAACATCAAAACAAAATATTATTATTTTAAAAAATCATATTGTGGGGCATACATACAAGCATTTCATAAAAAAAATTATAAATTAAAAAGGAAAAGTTGTACACATAGTCATTCTTAAAAATAGGTATCACTAAGTCATTAGAATCAGTTAAATTATGTCCTTTGTTATATTGGACTTTATAAATTTATAAACATAAATTCTCTTTGTACTATATACTGATAAACATAATGGGAATATCTTCTAATAAAATAGGATTTGATTCATTTCATTCTGCCTTTGCAATTTAATTCCAGCATTGTTTGCATATATAAATATTTGATTGTCTGCATATACTTGACAAATTAAAATAAAAATTACTTAAAATGATAACTTTATATTGCAATCTTCAAGTTTTTGTCTACAGACATACTCTAGCAAGAAAAACATAAATAATATACATGATTGATACTTTTGCTAGGTTAGAAAATGTTAGAATTTTGGAAAGTTATTGATACATACAAGCATAATATAACTATTTCAAACTTCAATATTTATCTTTTTATTTAATTCAAAACTATGATTCAACTCATTTTTCTTTTTACAGTACAATAAAACAGAAATGTAAACACTTATATCTAACCTGATCTTAATCTTAATTTTGATTTATTAATATCGAGTTGATTGTCTGCCCTCTGACTATAACGACAAAGCAATGACGAGCGAAAAAAAGTCAAATATTTAATCTCTCTTCATTATGTTAAGTATATTTACAATAAAGTAACAAGTTTTTCAATGTAAATATGAAAGATCAAATGTCAACAGTGGAATCGTTCGTTGCTGAATTCGTGTCCCGCAACTGCGTCAGATTCGTAATTCGATAGTTAGAAATTCAAAATTAACTCATTCATATGAGATTTATGAAAATAGTTAATTTCAAATTTTGAACAAATTGACATATTCATAAATTGCAAAATTTATCGTTTTACCATTCATGCCAATAGCGCATTGTCTGGCGCAAGCTTAATAAGCTTTCTATAATTACTATTACTAGTTACTGACTTATTGCCTTATAACATACTACTCGCTCGCTTAGACGCTTACAACTCGCTCTTGATTTCTAATCTATTACTAACGGCTTATTGTAGAAAGCAGGGTTGTGCATCTACGCGTAAAATATAATACTCTACGTTTAGGTGTAAACAACGTAAACTATTGTAAAAGTGTCATCTATATAGACAGTCAGTAGACTATATATTTATTCATTTAATAAATATATATAATTTAACATTTATGTAAAAAAAACTACTATTTGAGTAAGAAAAATTCTCTGGTTGCATTTTTAATCTTAATCTCGTAATTAAATTAATGTTCAAAATACATCAAGAATATTCTAAAGATGTCGTGGTATCTTTAGCCTGTTCCTATGATACATTTTGAACATTTCTATTGTGGGTAGAGACTGCCTTATAATTTAATTCTTT